ATTCTGTTTGGGGCATCATTTATTTAAAATACTTCAAGCTCCTTGCTGGCAGAGCAACAGCAAATTAGCATGCTATGCTGTGCACTTCAATTAAAAAGCAGTCTCATCTTTCCTATTTCCAAGGTACAGCAGAGCAAATCTAATTGTGCCATACAGCCAGTTCTCATCTTTGCAGAGTAACCAAGGCTTTGGGTTTTTTTTGCTTTTTGGTTTTGACAGATTTGTCTTCTTCTGAATAAGGCCATGTGGGCTTTTATGAAACTTGCCTCCTAATTGCAGGCAATAAACATGAACACAGCCAGCAGCAAAGGCTGTAGCAAGTACAGTTTAAGTAAAATGAAAATAAAGGTAAGAAAAGAACCACAAAGCAAGTTCATTTTACATATGATCTGAATAGTTAAACCACCAGGATCTGGATTTCAGTGTTCACAAGAGACGTATACATGCCTCCTTCAATATAAACTAAAAAAAACAAACAATCCCCCAAACCTATAGCTTAAATGCTGAGATAGGCAAAGATTTTTTATATTTTGGAGGTTAAAAGGTATGACTAATTAATGAGAAATATTTATAAGCCAGGATGTTATTAACTTTTAAAATATTTGCTTACAGCATAAAGAATCTCTGTTCTTGCACTTAGGCTGAGATCTTTGAATATGAGATCTGTTTTTTTAAAAAGTATAGAAGCATCCTCTGTGCTTTGGAAATTCAACTGATGTATTGCTTTTGACCTGAGATCTCCCTATCACACTGATCATCTCACCCCAAGTGAACAGGTGAGTCCTTCTGCTTCCTTTTATCCACTACTCATTTCCTATCCCTGGTACAAAGACCGCACTACTTTTGGACAGGAATTGAGTCCACAGAATCACAGAAATGTTTGTCTGAATGGATTTCTGGAGGACAGCTAGTCCAAGCTCCTGCTCTGAGTGGGACCACACAAACACCAGTCGAGGTTGCCCATGGCTTTGCCTGCCTGAGCCCTGAAAACTCCCGAGATGGAGAGTACACAGCCCTGCTAGACAGCATGTTCCTGTACTGCATCACCTTCTTGGTGAATTTTTTCCCTGATGCCCAACCTGAAACGTTCAGCCTGCAATTTGTGGCTGTTGCCCCTTCCTGTATGATCTGACACTACAGAGAATTATCTTTTCCTCTTTGTAGCTACTCTCCCAGCATCTTTGTTACAATCTTTCAAGCAGCTGTAGGCTGCTCTTTTCTTCCCTCCACTGTTTTTCACTCACCATTAGGCCAAGGAGACTCGCTGATTTTTTTGAAGACTTTGGATATCACTCATCCTAGTCGGTCTTAATTCTAATGATTCTAGGTATATGCACATTACACTTACTAGACCTGGGTTTTCATCTGAACAACAAAGAATGACACAAAACTTAGCAGGAAAACCGGGATTATCAACTCAATTCAACTATTTATTCATTCTCACCAGAGCAGCTAGAGAGACTTGTTGAATTGTGGACCAAAACCAAAAAGCCAAACGCTTAAATCTGTTGATTTCACATCATGGTAATGGTTCTGAATATTTAATGCCACTTTTTAGAAGGATAAGTAAAAAAACCAAAAAACCAAATCATCTCTGCATGGTTTCCAGTGAAAAGACAAAAAGTGCACCACAAATACAACACCAGAAGTTAGGCATTGAAATGTGAGTGCTACCATCTTAGATGTTTGATTTATTATTTTCATAATTTTATGCTATAATCACTACAGTTATGAACTATAGTGGGAAAGCAACAGCGTCATTTTTTAATAATCTGCTGTTCACCACATTGTCTTTATGTTTACTATTAAATGTTTTGTACACTTACGTGCATTAGTGCTGTTAAACCTAATGATGGAAATTCTATTATGATTTTTAATGATATCCAACTTTTATACAGTTGCAGGTTGTTATGAAAGAACACAAACCTTAACTTTATTATCATTCATCAGCATTTGTAAATATAATTGACATTTTATACAGAACCAGCTTTAAGTAACTTATTGGCAGCAATACAGATGCCTCTTAATATTACCCTCTGGCTAGCTATGCTGTTCGGGCGCCAGAGTGTCTGCACTAATGACTTGGAATTAAAATCAAGTAAAAGCTGAGAACTGTAACTCCGTATAAAACAAACAGCCATGCTTCGTACCAATTCTTTTTGGATATACCTGGCATTTTTAAAATTTACAGTGGGTATAAAACAGTGAAAGTGTTTGAGACTAGGTAACAAAATAGGACAGAGAAAAAACAAATCTGATGTTCCCAGATTTCTACACTTACCCTTAGGCACACCATAGGAATTGAAATGAGGAGAGAAAGTAGACAGTGCAATTAACCTTTCCTTTCCCTCTTTTTTTTTAAACAAAAAACAAAACAACAAAAAAAAAGGCAGAACATTTTAGACATTATAAATAGTAAAAAATACACATACATGTTTTTCTGCCATTATTTTTCATCTCAGCAATTTCTGTAGTTTCCTGAGGATTTAATGTGCTTAGGCATGAAAAGGGACTTAATCCTTAAAAAATTTTCCTATGAAGACATGGATTATGTTATCAAAAAGATTTAAGAAAACCTGCTTCACTGTACAACCAGGAAAGCTGCTCTGTCTCTCAAAGCCTCATGCCTTGACTTCGAGGTATTGAGTGGTGGTTTTTTTTCCAGAGCATATCTGAGCCCTCTCCTCCCCACACCATCTACGTATGACCTATTTGACTTCAGCTGCAGGGAAAAAAAAATAAAATTAGGAGTAGAGCCAAAATACTTCCTAGCACTTTCCTGTCTTATGATGGGCCACCACACATGGAAGATCCTCAGAGAGCTACTGATAAATCTCATCACAAATATCATTATTTCACCCAGTTTATCCACACCATTTGCTTCGATAAACTACATTTAAAGCCACCATAATTTAATTTTAGCCAACTCTGAGGAAGAACCTCAGGATCTGGCTCTCTAAAGATGGATGTTTTATTCATTTATTTGTCTAAAGAAGTAGATTCTTTTCTGAGCTCTCATTTTGGTGATACAGTTAAGAAAACACAAGAATATATTTAATAAGCAAGTGTAGTATACATTAAACATTCAAAAGAATATCCATATTGTATGGAGAAGAGAGGAATTTTATTATTATACAAACATACATGTATATATAATGTAATCATCTTCTTGCTTTATGGATCTGATCTCCAAGGAGAGTCACAAATCCACACGATAGCCCTGAGTGCTAAGATTTTGAATTTGGTTCTCTGATTTTACAATAGCTGAAAGATACGTAAAAACTCATGTAGCCAGACAGCTCCCTACTGACTACACATCTAAGCAACTTCACATGCATATATTATTCTAACCAGCGAAAGCTGGAAATAACATATGCCTAAAAAAAAAAGAAAAAAAAAGGGAAAAAAAGAGTACTTGAAAGGAGACTGTTTTCAGCTTCTGTGTGAAACCTTCAGGGCTCTCCGTGACCAAACCACATCCTTCTACAGCATGCTGCCATCTCAGGTGGGGACAACCCAAACTACTGAGTTACGCTCTGCAGAGTGAAGGGTGGAAATTGCTTCACAAGCTTATAAAAACAGCTACTATAGCTCTTTGTTGTTGAATGCAGTTCAGGGAAATAATTAATAATAACTATTAAAATTTTGCTAGTGTGGTCCTGAAGGATTTTTATAATTCTGCCCCATTTTTAATCACAACTTTTGTAAATGACCACTGGCCACAAAAAGCATCCAGATTGCTTTCATTTAAAATAATAATCTATAGCATGGAGCAGATTGACATAATTTTGTTCACAGAAAATAATAAAATGTCCCGTGCGCTGTGCCTGACAGTATTGCTATGATAAAGCTACACCTGAAGTGTGTCCACAGTTGCACTGAAATGATTACAGGCCCTACTGCCTCCCTACTAAAAGTTTTAGAAAGTTAATGGTTTAGTTATCCAACCACAACTCAGTTCATAAAAGTTTTGTGTTTAAGTGAGGAAGTGAGGATGAATTAAGATGTCTACTAGCCCCCTCGAAGGGGATCAACTGAATAGTGTGTGTCAATTTTAGGGCACGTAATCATGATTCCCACTCTGCATCTCCTTCCTCATCTTTTTCTCCTCTCCCCAAAATGTAGTAAGATGAGAAATCAAACAGGCTTCAGACTTCTGAAACTTTGATGGTCAAATGCTAGAAAATCTCTCCTGGTAGGCTGTGAACCAAGAGTTTTCAGAGACTTCCAAGTTCATCACATCTGGGCATGTTTCAGAGCCAAAACAAATTTCAAACCATGACCAAAACATGCAAAAATCTGAAAACTTCAAAAGGATATTAGTATGAGAACTGGCTTTTGTGCATGCTTGTTTTCTTTTCATGGGCAAAACAACACACATTGCCGTAACTGAAGTCACGGGACGTATTGATAAACTCTGTATCAGATTTCTACATGACAGAGACATCAGGCATGGATAATTAAACCTAAACTGTATAAACCATCAAATCTATAGGTTACAGAACACAGGCTCTTATGAGAGAAGACATTAACTGTAGGTGGCGCTACCAGAATGTATGCCCTATTCCATGATTCTAAAATACAGTTAGGTTCATATGCTAAAAACTGTGAAATGAAATGTGTGTATATCTCATGTCCTTCAAAATCATATTGATATATGCAGTAGTTACTAGGTTGTGATCTAAAAGATATCTACAGGGCACTGAAATGGAAACCAACAAATTCTGTCCAAGCACTTTTTGGAAATTATTTGTTTTCATCTTGTTCCTTGTCAAATACATAATGCATTTTTGTTCTCAGCAAAACTAAGCATTTTGTATATTCTCAGCTTCTGTCTTCCTCTTTTTTTTTGCTTTCAGCACTAAATATTTAAACACATTCAACCTAAAAATCTCAAGCTAGTAATCTGTTGCTTGTGTCTTCTCCCCGAGGTGTAACTATCAATGAGGCAGTACAGGATTGCTGAAGAGACATGAAAGAGATTGCGGTTACAGTCATACCTGCCCACAGGCCAGGCCCATACCTCTCTCCCCCATACCATGAGGACATGATAAATTTAACTCCAGCGCATCTGCACCAGCAACCTATGAAACATGCAAAAGGAAAAAAAAAGCAAAATTAACTTCAAGTAAGGTACTCTTTCCTGTAGCATTTACTGTTCATGTTAAATAGATTTCTTTAGACATTTCTTTTTTTTCTTCTTTTTTTAAAGCAAGAAAGCTATGGTTATGATAGTCTGAAAAAGAAATGTGTTGATCATTACAGAGAAAAAATTTCAAAAACTGATGTGGCTTCCCAAAACTACAAAGGAAATTAAAGTAAAAAATAAATTAAAAAGAGACAGGCACAATAAGGAGCTGGTTCTGAAAAATGTTAAAAAATGAAATGTAATTACAGGGCCTTAGGGCAGCACTGAGAGCGAGGTTCAGTAGTCAGTGTTACACAGGTGCTTCTGTGCTCTGAAGAAATGTGACTCAGTAGTAAATTTCTACTTTCTGCTTTAACGAATTTAGCCTCTAAATTTTCTGCAGGCACCTGGACTGTGCCATAGCTTTTGTCATTAAATATTTTTATTTCTGAAGTCAAACAAGAGAGTATTAAAAGAAGTCCATACAAACATATTAGTCATGCTAATTCCTCTTCAGCACCCTCTATTAGTTACAATTAAAAAGGCAAACGAGCCAAGGCGTACAAGGGCAGCACACAACCATGCTCCTCCTCCTCCCTGCCGAACTGCTCCGGCCTGAGATGACGATCTCTCCTGTTGCCTCCCATGTGGCTGTAACGAGTATTTTGTTTTGCATTTGCATTTTGTTTTTGCTTATTGAACAGCAGTAATTTTGCCTGCTGCGTGGCCATGGTTCAGCAGCTCCCCAAGTGCACGAGCAGGGGAGAAGCCTTCCATTACTTTTGGGAATCCTCCACGCCCTAAGCAGCTCTGCAAGCCCAGCCATGCTGCGCTGTTGCTGGTGCTGTCGGCCTCCGTGACAAGCTGACCTTTTGTATGAATAGGTCGTCCTCCTGCCGAGAGGCACTGCGGTACCTTCTGGGGCTTCTGCTCTTTGGAAAGCCACATCTATTACCTTCTAGGTAGGTTCCTACGCATGCGATTAAATAGCACTGCTCTTTTCCAGAGCGCCCCAAACAAGTGTGCTGCTCTCCACAGAGTGGAGACCAACAACTTCTTTGTGGAAGAAAGTTATATCACACAGGTTACACACTACTGAGTGCATTTAAATAACTACTTCTTTCTAAAGGGGTAACATAAATACAAACACATTGGAAATATCTGTCTTAAAGCTAGATAGCAGTACCACTGGATTAAAAAAAGAGGAGCAAATGGCACAATAAAGTCATTCATCTTAGTCAGTTTAAAAGCAGTACTGCTCCCGTTAAGCACGGATTCCACAAAAGATTTCATGGTCAATTAGGTAAATACAGGTATAAAATGGACTAGTGTTGAAGATCACCAAGCTAAATACTGATAATGTTTAATTCACTTCTCTAAGTCCCCTAAGCTATTTTTTCCCTCATAGGTTTGAAATGCCCAAAGAAAATGGAGAATTGTCTTCCCACATCATAGGAGGGCTTAGGACACTGTGAATAAAGAAACAACAATGTCCGAACACACACATTCAGCCGTATGAAAACACAAATTCAGAATATCCACACCCATATCTACACATACACAAAAACATATATAAAAAAACTTATAATACTTATAAAACACTTAGATCTGAGCTAATGATAGCAATAACGACAAGCTAATTTTTTTTCTTTGCTTAGATTTGTTAAAACCTTCCTTTATTGATCTGAAACTATGCTTTTTATTTCCTCTAGATACTTTACATGGAGAAAACCAGTTTTATTTAAAAATAACAACTTTCTATTACATTCAGATATAGACACCTTTCTGAATGAAATTACTGCGGTCTTAATCAAGTATTTCCCATACTATTCTCTGTGGACACAGGTACATGTTTTTAAATAGTTTTTTTCTTTCAAACTGAATCAAAATTTCAGGTGTATAGTCTGTTTGCATATGTGTGAGATCGGATTTATATTATAGGAAGCCTGCTGACTGCTATTATATATGCTGGCTTTCTCTGCTATCATTTTTGAAAGTCTGTATTAAAACTAGAATAGCATTAAATGAGCCTTTTATACTTTAAATATTCAAGAGTTTTATATTCAAAATTTCTTCTGGTGCTGTCAAACTAGTATGCCTGTAGGCAAGGTAAGATCAAGTTAGGCTCTCAAAGGTAGAATTAAATTTTATCAGGGCATCCGTCATAATATACAGTTTGCTTAAAATGCAAATAAAAAGTATCTAGATTCAAAGACTAAAGGCTTTCCAGGTACTGCTTAAAAATCCAAGGGACTATTTTTATGGAACAGATTTCCTTTAAATTTACATTTCTGTCATTTTAATGAAAACACAGAATAAACAAATTATAATGGTCATGCTTTAAATTCTCACTTTTCACTTTGAATGTATTTCTTTCAAGAAATTCCTTATTGCAGCTCTTGTTTTTAAGGAGAATAAAAAAAAATGCAGACATACATTTAGGAAACCATTACCTCAGCCATTTTTGAAAGTTCAGTCCAGTCCTCCCTGCTATAGCTGCACATGATACTGGCAATCAGAATCTGAAAAGAATATATATGTAATCATTTTAAGCCATGTTAACAGATTTTGTAATATAGTCCTTTACTGGGACTCCAGACATTAACTACCACTACCTGCATATGGGAACTACCAGCTATATACTACTAGCATGTATAGTGAAATATAGCTGTATATTTCACTGGGGATAAGAAGTAGTATACAAAGTCATCTATTTTATCCCTGTTTTTTAAGTCATTAAGGAAAACCAGCAGGTGTAGTCAAATACATAGAGAACTTCGCATTCTCTTTGCCATGCGATAAAGTGAGAACAAAGGCTGTCACAGACACAGAGCCCACCAGGAAAACTGTCAAAGGTATTTGTTTCTGAGGTCAGGGGAATTAAGTTATTTACTATTTATACAATGCCAGAAGTTACTTGGGGCCCTTTAGAGGTAGGTAAGACATAAATGCAAGAGTTTAACAAAGCAGCGTACGAACACAATATTCCAGCTGACTTCAGGAAGGCAGGCTACACCAAAACCAGCCCCCTGTAATCTCATACTATGCAAGTTAAGGACAGTGACAGGCAGCTGGGACTGTTTTGTGTAGAGGCAACTGGGAGGAGACTCGTAGGATATCGGAAAAATCTAGGAGGACAGGCAGAGTGGCACAGGGAAATCCCAGCTTTTCTTTTCCCACAATACATATTTTATTTCCTATTTGCTGGCTGTGGCCCCAGTTCCCCAAGAGCTGTTTCTGTGTATTGCCTTTCCTCCTCACTGCACTGAGCACCCTTCAGGTCCAGATTCTGCCTGTAGCTGCTGCTGCCTCCAATATCTTTACTGAGGTTCAAGTGTTTAGGTAAAGTAAGTTTTAATAGGATTCTTCTGCGAGGGCAGCTGGACTCACACCTTTCCAGTTGCACAGTGCTATTTACCATTAAGCAAATGTTAACTACTCCTCCGGTCCATGTCCAGTTTAAGTAACAATGTTAATTTCTATTTAAGACCCATCAAAGATCATCAGACACTGAAACTCGGAAGTTGATACATTTGTGGTACAATTAGCAGAGAATTCAGCCCAGGAAATCCTGCATGGAGGACTTCGTGGATGGATGAGGTTTGCAGGAAAAAAGTAACAGAGACCTATATTGCAGCAGCTAAAAGGTTAAATCAGAAAAAGAAGTCACAGAACTTATGACCACAGTACCAGCGCAGTCTGTGTACATCAAAGGAAACTCCAGGGGAGGAGAACAGAAAAACAGCTGGCCACACTCTTGATTATTTGGCCCTCTTACGTGAAACGTATGAAAGTTTCACAAAGACGTTTGATTCACAGGTAGGATGAAATTTGGTTTTAATCTTTTTTGCTTTCCAAACAAGTTTTACTGTCAGTATTAATATCTGGGATGAGCTTAATCTGTCACTCCCAGTCAGTATAACACTTCTCTTGAACTTTCCCAGAACGCTAAGGGTTAATGACTCATTCATGTAAGGTAAAATACTGAAAAGCATAATGTAGAAAAATTGTCCAATACACACAATTGTTGGAAACTATAAACTCCCAAATTATCTCCATAAGAAGGATATTTGGTATCTTTAGAAGGGAGGGAACCATACTTTAAAAAGGAAGGCAGCTAATGGAGAAAATTAGACATGGTGAGATTACAATCTATTCATTTAAAAGGACAATACCACTTATCATCATCATTATTTCCATTATTTCCATTGTTTTGCTGTGATGAATCCGTACCTATCAATCTACCACCCACCTACCTGCAGACTACCTACCCACCCACCCACCTTTCTGGGTGACGTTTGCAAGATGGGAGTCTTTTGAGAAGGAAAGCCTTTGACGAAGTGCCTGCCTTGCCTGCAGGTGCCCATCTGTGCGCACCTCCAGCATAAATATTTAAGACCAAGCTTTTCACTAAACGCACACAATCATTACTGGCCATGCTTTTATTACGCTCTTGACAGAGGAAAAGACTCTCTCTCCTATACCATCCTTTTTTCTATTGTGAAAAACCTTATATAGCTCTATAGGCCAAATGTTTATGAAACAGAATTTGCTCTATGTTCTATTTGAATATTCAAGATAATTTGAGTACTCCAGAAATAAACATAAATCTCTTTAAAAAGACTCTAATATTTTTAAACAAACAAATTGTGAAAAATTGATTTAAGAAAGTATATGTCAGAAAAATTTAGAGTAAGAAACTAGTTAAAATATGCACTAACTGGAGTTAGCTAGAAACTATCTTGTCAAATTCACACTTTTTATAAACTAACCAAAGCAAAAAAAACCCCAAACAACTCAGACACTGACAACATGATAAGGGTTTTCACAGTTGCAGTCACAATCCAAAGTATATCAGAAATCTACACAATTCAGCTTTAAAACAAACCAAATTTTTCAGCAGCAAAAGTTGTAAAACAACAAAGGTGGCTGACTATATTCACAAGTAGCTGAGTTAGGTTATGTCAAGTGTTATTAATGAAGTTTGAAAATTCTGCTGGGAGTGTACAAAAGAGGAGGAACAAGATCTGTGATGTTTCAAAAAGCTGTTAATTAAGACAACATGTTTATTTAATATTGATTAGTTTTAGCATTCACATTTAAAATTAAGTACATACTTTTGACAGAAGCAGTGGTTTACAATAACAAAAATAACTGAAAGCAAAAATTACATTTCTGCTGCGACATGAAAACCATGATCTCAGAGGGAATAATGAAAATTTTAAGAAAGTAGGGATTTTATTCTCCTCTTTTCCCCAGTGTTCTCTTATAACTTGAAATTAAACTTAATTCCTACGTAGAAACAGGTCCTCCAGCTCTCCATGTTAACAAAGCTGTCCCTCCTCAAGTGACTGTTCTTCCCCTCTACGGTCTTTTCATTTGGAATCAGTACCCACGACAAAAAAAAAAAAAATACCGTAAGTGGACATTTAGGGACACTATCTGTGATGTTTGAGGTTTGAATCTACTCCTAAATCCTACTCCTAATTATAAAGAAATTTATAATTTATAAAGAAAACATAGAATATTATCTCCTATTACCTAGAAAGAGAATAGCAAGAAAGAAGTAAGAATAACAAGTGATAAGGATCAGAGTTTCTATTGGAAAGTAATAAACAGAAGTTGTATCAAATTTCAGTTTCTCAGCCTCTTCTCACTATTTTTTTTTCCCCCATCTTTGGTGCCTGCAATGCCATGTACCACATTACCAACCCTGTAACTTTAGTAGCCCCAAACAGTTGTGTCTCATGAAAGTCCAGCACATGGCCCAGCCCAGGAGCATCCTCAGAGAGCGCATCCTTCCTTTTGACTCCTGAAATCTGCAGTAGCAACCTGAGCTTAATTACAGTTGTTTGAACCACAAGTGCAAGGCCACACCACGCTTGCCTGGCTTACAAAAGTAGACTACTGACAGATCTTACAATAAAACTGCTGCTGAAGTGTAGTAAGCGGTAAATGAAGGTTGAGTAAATTGCAGCTTTGTCATAGCTTGAGTGGGGGCTGCCTGCGAAACCGTGCATGACTGAAGCACAGTGGGATCCCTGGCCCATTCCTTACTCCAGATCAGAAGCATAGCTGGCATACGCTGTTCCCTCTTCTTCTTCATCCAAACTGCTATTTTGCCTGTTGTTGAGAGATCCTGCCTACCCCGCCCTACGTCAAGGAGTGTGGCGGCCCTGCAGACACCACTCCCTCCCTGATGATCGCTGTGACAGACGTCACCAGACAAGGTCTTTACGCCCCGACATTACACAAGGTGATAGACAATTTCTCCAAATGCCTATAAAGGGACAAACGCATGTTTGTAACATCAGACACTGGTCTGTGTACAAGATTTTCTTGATCATTCATGGAAGAAGATCTACAATAAAACTTTTTTTTTGTTGGAGGGAGGGGAGATGGAAAAGGGAGGGTGTATAATGCACCATTTAGGACATGATTATAAGATGAACATACCCTAGCTAAAGCACCTAGTAAAAAGCTACATTTCACACAATTCTGTAACTAATGCATTAGTAGTTGTTCGTCTTAAAAGGGCACTGACAAAGTACTTCTCATAATCCTTAAAATATTTTTTCTCCCTGTTTATAATAATCCCCTGGAAGCTTAAACTAGAATCTATTTCCCTTGCAAATGCTTTTTTCTCATCCATTATCTCTATGCGGATGTCTCATGAATGCAACAGCATTAAAAGAAATAAAAAGGATGAGGTTTGCCACTGTGTATGTTTTCAAGTGATCTTCCTTCCCTAACACATGGAATTCACTGCAAGAGTTTTCAAAACAAAAGGAAGGATTAAAAAAAATAACTGGGCCTACTTTGGGTCAGACAGTCCTGAGAACATCTATTTAAAGCCAGACAGCAGTAAAACTGTAGGCACACAATTACCATTTGTCCTGTATCGCTCTGCAGGGAATAAGGGAGTTTCAGTACACTCAGAGAGTCTGAAAAAAATCTCAGGGGGATGGATTTAAATGTGAACATTGTCAGTCCCTGAAAATTTAAGAAAACTTCCCAACAGACACAATGGAATCACAATCCTCTACCCTCATGCCTGTAATAACCATATTTATTTTGGTCACCTAACACAGGCCATAGCCTGTATCTGTTCCTAACCTATTCTTCCAGGTCTGTGCATAACCTCCCTGCACTTCAGGAAATTCAGCCACCAGTATAATTTCTGCTTTCTCTTCCCTGCCTGTCCCTTCTCATTGCTGCACCAGACTTGAGGACAGTTCTGCACCAAGTGTCCATAAACGCTCCATTTAGACACTGCTGCTGGCCTCAACCTGCACCCCCTTCTGCTTTCTCAAACATTTCCAAAAATCACCAGGGTTTTATTTTTGATGTGCACAGCCCTTGCAGAAATAGAAAGAGATCCTTAACATCATCTTTAAGAGACCGTTCCCCTGAAAGCTGTAAAATCAAGAGGAGCTTTCAAGAAGGCTGAAGGACTGGTTTTGTAACAGCTACCTGTTTGGGAAGCAGAGATATGGAACAGGATAATTGCTGTGGATAGAGG